TTAAGATCCCAGTCACTACTCACCAAAGTAGGAGGTGGAACAATGTTTTGTGTAGTATGTTATGCCAATTGAGTTTGATGTCCCCTGTGACTATGGTCCTGAGCCCACAGGTTCAACTACTCGGTCCCTCTGGGTAGCTGGCTGTGACCAAGAAGTGACTATAACCTTGTCCCTTGTCAGCTCTACTATACCTCTGTGAGTTCTTACAGAACATACACATACACTTGTAGAACTATTGTCTGCAAACCATATACATGGTCTTGGGTATACTCCCTGCTGCACAGACATACCTAATAGTTCAGCCTGTCCATCCATCTATCCACCCGTATACCCGTGACAAACGGGTACTTCTTATGTGACTTCTTTTTCTTCTCAGTGAAATTTAAATGCCAAGACATTAGGTTGGAGAAAAATATGGCTCTGGTGTATATCAAAGAATATTCTACCTCGAATAAGAGGGAAGCAATACATCTAAGTTTCAGGAATTTGGGGTAAACTATTAGAAAGTTCAATTATATATGATTTCTTCCTATTGTAAAGATATAAATAAAAACACTGTCTTGGTAGCATTCCATCGCAGTAATAGTAAATCAACTACCATTTAAAATTGTAGTACCTGTCTTGAGTGCTCCAAATCTATGACTCTGTAAACATATGAAATTAGACATACTAAGTCGTGATACAATGGGAAAGGATGGCCTGTTAAACCAGTTAGATCTGGGTTTGAATTCTAGTTTTGCCACTTCTTAGATAGGACTTTGGCAAAACCTGTTTCTATATCCATAAATGGGAGCATTACTTTATCTTACAGGGTAGTACTAAAAAACTAAATGAGACAATAAATGGAGTTCCCTTCTTCTTCTACCCTGACCTCTAGAATCAATGCTATCCAACAGAACTCTGGGAAGATGAAAATGTTCTATAAAGCATGTTGTTCAATAAGATAGCCATGTGGTTATTGACCACTTACAAATTAACCACCGTGACTGAGGAACTCAATTGCTAATTTTAATTAAATAGCTCCAGGTGTCTTGTGGCTACCATACTGGACAGCACAAAGCCATAAAAGTGTGCTTCTTTGAGGCTTTAAATCCATATGGGAATTAGGAGTGAGTATAAAGAAAAACAATATTTTCTCCAACTTTATCCCAGAATGCAGTTTACTAGAAATAGTACAAATAGATTTTATGGTTAAATATATCTGGATTTGAATACCACACCTGTGTGACTCAAACCAATTTACCTAAAATAACTAAACCTCAGACTCCTTATCTGTAGGAAAGGAGACCTGGTGGTGCAATATTTAAGTGCTCGGCTGCTAAAAGAAAGTCGGTGGTCCGAATCTACCAGCCTGCTTACAAAAAGATTTACAGCCTTGGAAACCCTATGGGGCAGTATTATCCTGTCATATAGGGTAGATATGAATCGCAATTGACTTGATGGCAATGGGTTTTACGGGCATCTGTAGGACAGGAATACTTACAGTCTCATTGGGACACTGTGGAAATGACAAATAAATGAATCTAACATAATAGATGCTTAATAAATGTAGTTTCTTTCTTCCTCATAGTCACTGTGTCTTATGTGACCACACTTTCCTCACATGCTAGCCAAGTGCTTGAACTGTTACTAAATTTAATATTGACAAATGCAGTTAATGCCAACTGTTTGCCAAGATGTGTTTACTTCACTAAATGAAATTGTCAACATTTCTGAAGAATCTGAACTCTAAAAATGTATGACTAATAACAAAAATTTCATTAATATTATGAGAAAATCACAAAATAATCTTTAATCCTAAAATTATTACCGTGAAATGAAAGTAGATATTGGCTAAGCATAGAAACCAGGTTTTCTAGCTCCCTTAATTCATTCTTTCAAGATACTAAGATTCTCAGATAACATTACTGCTTCTTAATTTCTCTGCTACACAATTACTTACTTTGAGGATGAAAATAAAAACCAATACCTAAACTAAACTTCTGTTTCACAGCTGGAAATCTGTCTTCCAGACTATTTGGAAAGTTCTACCACATCCTCTATCCATGTGAAATACCAACATATTCCAAGCCCATAAGATGTTTTGGCTATCTTTAAGGTTCATTTCAATAATAAAATAATCCCAGTATCTCTATTAGGTTGCTCATCAACACCTAGGAACACAGTAACTGAACATCACTCAGGCTCAAGAACCTGGGAACTGGTGGAAGTTAACTTAAAACTAACTTCTCCATTGTTCTATGTCAATGCTCAAGCCACACATTACACCTATGATTCTTAATTTTTAATATCTGTCACTAGAGGCTGCCAAACTATGTCTATGGCTATCTTTTATACAGCTATTTTCAGAGTGGCAAGGTCTAATGTGTGAAGACTAATATGCTTTGACTGCATGCTGCATTGCCAGTTTAGGCAGGGAGTACAAAAGCAGAAGTTTTAGTTGGGTAAAGCCTGTATTAAAAATTTAAACCTGCACACAGTTTCTAATTACTAAATGTACCTTTTGATACCAACAGGGAAGTATCTTTAAAAAGTATGTCTTTTTGTACAATTTTCATTGCAAATTTGAAATCTGATGTGTTTCTATTAGACTGGTAATTTAGAAGTGTATGTTCAATAAGGGAGCTCTGGTAGCATAGTGGCTAAGACACTTGCCTGCTAACCAGACCGCTGGCGGTTCAAACCCACCAGCCACTCCTCGGAAGGAAGGTTGGGCAATCCTACTTCCGTAGTGATACTGCCTCGGAAACCCAAGGAGGGGTCGCTATGAGTCGGGGCCGACTCGACGGCACATAACAACAACAATAACAACAATGTTCAATAAAGGTAAGTAGGTACAAAATACTGTGTTAAGTCCCTGTTTTTAATACTGTCTGTTTAAATACTGTACTTTGGCCCCATTCTCTTGTTCCACGTGCTCTTAAGTCAACAAAAAAGTGTTAACCATTTGAGCTGATATAAGCAGGCAGACATCTGGTGTTCATATTTATATAACAAGAAGCAAGTATCTTGTAAATTACGACTTGGTTGGACTGAACATAAATATACACAAATAAATTAAATCAACACCGAAAACGTCCAATTTCTTGCTAGTCCAACCAACAAACAACAAACCAAAGCACTGAAATCAGAAGTATGTACTTCCAAGTGTCAACAAACCTCATGAATTAACAAATCATATCAAAGGGGAAAAATAATTTGACTGTTTTAGACAACCTCCTTGAATTTAAAGCCTACTGTACTCTTTTGAGTAGCAGGTCACTTTAGATCTCTAATTTTATCATTTATTCTTTTGTAGTCACTTTTTTTAAAAAGCTTACTACATACATACAAAGACTGTAGGATGTTGCTCAATTTTACAGGATACCAACAGGTTCCATGAGTCTAACTGAAGTTTGTTAGCACAAACTGAAATGTAAGCTACAGCAACACTGTAAAAGAAAGGCTTCTAAACCAACCACCCCACATAAAAAGTTCTCTGAAAGCAAAGTTCTAAAAATCCTTAACTTGCAGAACTGCTACATGGGTATTACTTTATAGCCCTTCTAAGTTTCTTCTCCAGGTTCTGCTAAGAAAACACAGTAAATCATATCAACGTGTATTTGAATACTTGCTTTCCTACTACAAAAAAAAAAAAAAAAAAGAAACAGTGCAGACACGCCTGCTGGGTATATGAGCTCCACCCCTAAAACTCGGCTAATATGCATAGCAGGCTTTAAGGTCTGCATTCTGGTCTGTCCTCATCCCACATACTGTTAATCTTGGAAAGCATCTACGTACTAGAACTGTTTTTTTTTTTTTAAATAAAGAAAAAAGAGTCCGAAATGTTGCCATATGCACTGACTTCACAGACTGGCGAGTCAGAACCTGGAACTGTGTGTTCCTAAACGTGGCTTTATCGGGAGAAGCAGAGGGAAAGGAAGATCAGGGCCAACATGGGTAGAGAGAGCTGTGAATTACAGGGCCTAAAACTTTACAAATCTCCCTTCCCTCCAGCTCCCACCCATACCAAAAGTCAGAAAGCTCAGGAAAGGCTGAAGGCTAGCATGACTAGCGACTATCAAGATCTTGAAAAACTCAGCACAAGAAAAGGCCAGAGGAGAAATGGTATGGGAGAAAGAGTCCTGAGAACTGGTTCTTAGGGAGCCACTGGGACCATGACTTGGAGGAAAAGAGGCTAGGGGTGTGTGGGGGACAGGCCGTCCAGGTGCGGCAGTCAAGGCGCGGCCGTTCAGGCGACAAGAAGGCCGGGCAAAATAACTAGTACCTAGGGGGTATCCTGTCAAAGGGGATCGTGATTGAACTGCAGGGGGTCCTTCCCTCCCCTTCCTCCTCCTCACCGGGACCGTAGAACTTGCTGCCTTTGGTCACGTCGAAGACTTTCCCATTGACCGCGAGGAGGATGCGCGGGTTGCGGGATCCGTCGTACTGGCGCAGCTGCTCTAAGCTGAAATCCCGCTTCTTCATGCGAGGCAGTGAGGCGGCAGGGCTTTCCTCGCCCGCCCCGGCTCCGGCACCTAAACCCCGTCGCCCCCAGCGCACCCACAGCCGGTAGGCCCCCAGCAGCACAAGCGTCACCAGCACCACGTTCAGCAGCATCTCCCCGCCCCCCGTCAGAAGCGCCAACGTCGCTGCCGCCCAGCCGCCCCCTTCGGCTGCCGCTCCCGCGCCGCCCGGGCTCTCGCTGCTGCCGTCGCTACTGCTATCGCTGCCACTCCCCAGGGTGCCTAGCTTCACGTCCCCATCACCCGCCGCCATCACTGCCCGCCAGCGCCTTCCCCTCTTCCCCGCCCCCTGCCCTCCCCAACTCCACGGTCGGCCCCGCCCATCTAGGGGCCTCCCAACCAATAACGTGAGGGGAGGGGGCGGGGCCCAGCCGGCTCCCGATTGGGTGTTGACGGGGTAACGTTGTCTCGGATCTTTCTGTCCCCCTCCCTCCTTTTGCTGGCCGCGCTCGCGGGCTACGCCCCGCCCACCTCGCCCCACACTTCCCTGCTCTTGCTCTCGTCCTCCGCTGGACGAAGTGGAAGCGAGGGGGCGGGCCTGTAGACAAGATGCTGCGCCGGTTGCGCGCGCGCACGGACGGGGCGAGACTACAGCGCGTGCGCAGGTCCCGTAGCGCCACACGCTCTCTTTTCCCCTGCCACCCCTGGTGAGGCTCGCTCGGCCCAGTCATTTTGCTGTGCGCGTGCGTGTCGGAATTGCTTCCTTTCCCAGGCCTGAGGTCGCGTCAGCGAGTTCCTGCTGCTTGCCACACTCCACTCGGTAGCTTCACGTGCGCCTAGGTGGCTCTGGAGGAGGTGCCCGGTGGGGGTGCGGTACTCCGCAGCCCCGGCCTCGTGGGAGGCCGCGACAACGTTTTAACTGCAGGCACGATCCGATGGGGGGGTGTCTCTTCCCTAGATTTCGTCGTGTTGTCCGGAAGTCGGCAGCGTAGCCACACAAACCTAACGCTGACTCACCTAAGTTTTGGCGACAGGTGGAGGCTTCCTGGCTGGTAGAGAATGCTTAGAACCTGCACATGGGTTTCTTGGCATCTGGAGGAAAGAAGAAGGCGTGACGCTCCAGATGAGCCATTCTCTGGTGGTTTTAGCCAAGGCTGATCTTGTAGAATTTTCTTTTAGGTTTTAGACTAATGGACTCGTTATTTCTTGAATCTGCTTCTGCAGCGGTAGCGAAATGGATAGGATAAGGGGGTCCTTCTAATCGCTTATTCGGCTTTATTTAACCTTTTACATCCTTCACATTTCAGCCCGTATGTCACCTGTGAAACCTGGAAGCCTGGTGGGCACTCCCTCTTCACAGTCTACTCGTTGACGTGCTATCATCTGTCCATGACCGTTCCCATTATGTCGCTGAGTCTCCCATCCCCAGGAACTACCTAATTGATTCCCTGAGGAACCAGTGGGATGGAAGAGAAGCATGTGCAAGCAATGGAGGTGCAAGATGTGAGCTAAAGAGTGTTAGGGAAACAGCAAATGGTCCATTTTGGCTTTTAAGCAGCGAAGAGGAAAGAGGAAAGTCTGGAAAACTAGGACCTTGTACTGGCGCTTTTGGAGGAGCCACTGATGATACTGAAGTGACAGGATCAAAACTCTTAACTCAGGTTATCTGGCAACTAGGACGAATGAAGGATTGGGGGAGAAGGGTTGATGTAAGGCGGTGACGGGGAAAGAACTGGAAACTAGTTTGTAGTGCAGGGAGTGAAGAGACTCAGAACTAGTTGAGGAATTAGAGCAGAAGTCAACAAATTTATCCTGTAAAGGGCCAGTTAGTAATAATTTAGGGTTTGTGGACTCTAGGTCCCTGACTCACCTTTGCTGTTGTATGTAGTGTGAAAGCAACCCTGTCATTAGCTGCCTTCCGGGTGGCCAAAATCGTGATGCTCCTGTATGCACAGTAAGATTGTACTGTTGTGATCCATAGGATTTTCTTTGATTGATTTTTTTGGAAGTCAGTTACCTTAGGTAATACTTAAATGAGCATGGCAGTGTTCCAGTGGAACTATTTGTGGAAAAAGGGAGAGGGAGGGGGGAAAAAAACTATTGTGGACACAAATTTGAAATTAATATAATTTCAGGTATTGTGAAATATTTTTTGAATTTTTTTTCAATCATTTAAAAATGTGAAAACCATTCTTAGTTCTGGGGAGGCACAGAAACAGGCTACAGACTCTAGGTTGTTGACGTCTACATTACAAGTAGTTTCTAGAGGCAGAGTGAGTGAATAAGCCTTGATTGAGGATAAGTAAGGTGATCAAAGAATCTGTTCTTTTATTTGGAACACCTTTGGGGGTGAAATGGGGCAGTATTAATTACACTGGGAGAAGAGGATTGAAACCATACTGTTTGAGACAAACCTGAATGAATAGTCACCCCAAGGTTAAGAGGGTAAGTCAAAATTGCTTTAGGACTTGATGGCAGAAAGTAGAGGTGCCAACAGTGGAAACAGGGAGATTGGGGAGAAACTGATTTTGAGGAAAAGCAGTTCTAGGTATTACCTACAGGTGTAGCAACATTGGCAGGCAGGAGGAAACCACTACTTAGAGGCCGTATAGCAGGCATCTCCTTATATCTTATTGTCCAGAAGTGGGTCACTAGCTTATCCCTAAAGCAGTAACTGACAAGAGGGCATGGGACTACCATGGTTGTTTAGTGTTTTTCTGTTTTTTGGCAGATCATGTGCAGGACTGTTCTGTGTATTGCTGGACATTCAGCATCTCTGGTCCCTTCTTACTAAATCTGGTAGCATACCCCAAGCACTGTGATACCAAAAAAAAAAAAATCCCCTTTTCTCCTATCCCCCCTCTCCCACCCTAACATACATAATCCTTAGAGGACCACTGGCTTAAACCAGTCAGGCATTACCTTGGAACTGAAGTGTGTGTGTGTGTTTGTGTGTGTGTGTATAGTTTTCCTTTTCCTGATTGGTTTAGAGGGAAGAGAAGAATTGAATGACAATATTATAAATAAAGTATAGAAGCAGAATAAAGTTCTGTTGTCAAGGAAGTGGGATGGGGAATGTTGAGTATAAATAATTCATATGATCTGCCATGGGAAGAAGGAGCTCTGATGGTGTAGTGCCTAAGACATGTGACCGTTAACCAGAAGGCTGGTGGTTCAAACTTTGGAAAGAAGGTTGGGCAATTTACTTCTGTAGTGATGTTGTGTGTTGTCGAGTCAGACCTGACTCGTAGCAACTCCTCCTTGGGTTTCCAAGATAGTATCACTTCGGAAGTAGATTCTCCAACCCAAGGAGGAGCTGCTGTGAGTCGGATCCAACTCCATGGCAGTGAGTTTGTTTGTATTTTTGCCATGGGAAGTAAAAGGTTAAAACATTTTCTTTTATACTTTTGATAAAATAAATGTCTCCACTTCTCCACACTTGAACCCTCTTTTTTTGAGTCCTCTGAGCAGTTTATTCTGATTCTAATTCTTCTGAACTGGTCTAGGTGAGTTTTTCCTTTTCTTCTTTCCGAGGTAACATTCCCATTATAAGATTCCTCATTGGTCATGGATCACCTCCTGCTTTGAATACAACAGTAACTTTCTGACTGGTGACCTCTCACTTTTTCCCTATTTCATTCCTTCATGAAGGGACTAATTCTGTATACGGATTTGGAAACCTATCTGTGAGACCAGAAGAATGAGATGGTGCCCAGCTACCACTGTCAACCACTTAGAGGGAGATCAATGCAGGAGATAATGAACAGAGTGGGAGAACAGTGTGGAATAAAACTCAAAATCATAAAAAAAAAAAGACCAGTTTTGTTGGTCTGATAGAGCCTGGTGAGACCCCTGAGACTATGGCCCCTAACTACCCTTCATATCTGGAATTGAACTCACTCCTGAGTCTTCCATCCAAACAATAGACAAGCATATAGGGTGATCATTTACATCAGGTAGATGCACTACTTAGAGTGATCAATCGTTGGAGAACAGAAGGACAATGTTTGTACAGGGAGATAGGTGGGGAGGGGTGTGCAGGTGGGGACAGTGCATGGGAGAGAAGGACACAGGAAAGAGAGAACTGTGGGGAGCAAGTGGGAAGAGAGCTGTTACAGTGTGAGGAATTGCAGTCAATGTCATGAAACAAAATGAACTGCTGTATGGAAAATGAATTTGCTCTGTAAACTTTCACCCAAATCACAATAAAAATTAAAAAAAAAAAAAAAAGAAACCTATCTGCTTGGATACTTAGATGTTTGAAGGAGAAAGCTCAGATTGGCACTCAAGGCCCTCTACAAATCCACAAATGGTTTCTTCTACAGCATACCTCTAATCCGCTATTATTGTTGTGAGCTGCCATCAACTCCAACTCATGTTGACCCTAGGTGTGCAGTGTAGAACCGCCCCATAGCGTTTGCAAGCATATAAATCTTTACTAGAGCAGACCTCCGCATATTTCTCCCATGGAGTGGCTGAGATGTTCAAACTGTTGACCTTTTGGTTAGTGGATGAGCTCTTTAACCGTGGCACCAGCAGAGCTCCTTAATCCACTGTTAGAAACCAAAGTCACTGCTGTTGAGTGGATTCTGACTCATGGCAATCCCGATTGGGTTTCCAAAGCTATAAATCTTTACAGAAGCAGATTGCCTCATCTTGGAGCAGCTTGTGGGTTTGAACCACCAATGTTTTGGTTAGCAATCAAATGACTTCACCACTACACCATCAGAGCTATTGTTGTTAGATGCTATGCAGTTGGCTCTGACTCATAAGGACCGTATATACAACAGAATGAAACACTGCCTGGTCATATGTTGTCCTCACAATCCTTGTTAACACTTGAGCCCATTGTTGTAGTCACTATGTCAATCCAGATCTATGTCAATACCCTTTATGACAGTGATAATGGGGTGGCACAAATGGTTTGCCCTTATTTACTAACCTAAAGTTTGGTGGAAGTTTGAACTCATCCAACAGCTCTGTAGTAGAAAGGCCTGGCAATCTGCTTCTATAAAGATTACAGCCAAGAAAACCCTATAGAGCAATTCTAGTATGTAACACATGGGATTGCTATGAGTTGAAATTGTCTCAGTGGTATGAAATTTGTTTTTGATATTTCTTACAGTGATAGGAGACTGTGGGTGGTGCACATGGTTAAGTTCTTGGCTACTAACCAAAAAGCTGGTGGTTTGAGTCCACCTAGAGGCCACTCCTTGGAAGGAAGGTTGGGCAATCCTACTGTAGTAATACCGCCTCGGAAACCCAAGGAGGGGTAGCTATGAGTCGGGGCCGACTCGACAGCACATAATGACAACCACAACAGAGGCATCTCGAAGAAAGCCCTGGCAGTCTACTTCTAA